CTGGGGGAAACCTGAAAACAACCCAGCAGATGCTGGTATCACGGGACTGGGGGATGGGTGTGACAGGATTCTTTGCCCCACTTTTGCAACTTCAACGCAAGGCTGAAATAGTTTCAAAACATCAAGTGAAGAACCCCGCACCTCTGGCTAACCTGCAGGAAGCGCTGACCTCCTAGGGCACAGCCCAGTGCCTGCTCCAGCAGGTGCCCATGGAATCAGCAGGAGCTGTGACTTGTGACCCCCTCGTCCCACTCAGAGTGAGGGGAACCCAGACGGGTCCCTGGCTGTCGCCTCTGCTCAGATCTAAGTGCAGTGTCCTGACCCTCTCGCTCTGCTCTGGGGGCTGTGGGAAGCCGCACACTGGAGGGGGGGACTGTCTCCTAGTGGGGACAGGCCACGCTGGCAGGGTATTGCACATCCCGGAAAACAGGCGTGGGCTGAACTCTGACCCCTGCAGCGACCACTCATCTCGGTGACTGCTGGGGTAAAGCAGCAAGAGGCCAGGGCGCCTCTGGGACCAGCACCGCCGCCCAAGCATAAACATGAGGGGCTCAGGACCACCGGTGCCATCAGCCACGAGGCTGTCAGTGGTGCTTGGACCCGCGGGCACCAGCTGGGGAGCAGGGCAGCAAACACCATCAGGGGCCTTCAAAATATCTGTCTCTCGGCCTGCACTTCGCTTTAGGAATCCAACCCGAGATTACTCTAAAGTGGAGCCAGGGCGTGTGTGGGGCGGTTTATGAGGGCATTATTTTCCATGGCAAGTGGCGCGGGGCACCTGCCAAGATGCTGTGTGACCAGAGAAAGCACTTGGCGCGCCGTGGGAGATGCTTAGGCAACAATGTCAAGGCAAGAATGTAGAGAAGCAACGTGACTCAGGAAGACACTCCCAATGCACCGGTACTCAGCTGCCCACACGCGGGGGCCTGTCTGCCCCCACCTTTCCTCCAGCAGAGACTTTACAATCCGACCACAGGGACAGGAGAACGCTCGCAGGGAAGGGCTAAGGGGAGCTCCTGACCCAGTCCCCGCGGCTGCTGGGCTCCTCCCTGGCACGGCAGGGCTGCCTCCCTCCCTGCCACCCCTACGAGCAGCCCCGCAGCCAAGGAAGCAAGTCCCTGGCACCAGGATTCTCAAACTTCACATCTCCCACCATTCCCAGAGCAGTCCCGTCCTTCTCTCTCCTGGGTGGGTTTACTGCGGCCATTTGGGCACTTGCCACGGTCCTGTGGGTCAACAGGTGGCTCCCCGGTTCCTTCTTCAGGTGAACAGATTCCCTTGGAGGTCATGGGCAGAGGCCGGCACCTCCGGAAGGCAGGGCCCCGCCCAGCAGTGTGCCAGACAAGCATCTCCCTCACCGGCCCCTCGCCAGGGTGCTCCTCACACACTCACGCCCTTCAACTCCAAAAAGGCCCCTGTAGGCCGGGCAGTGTCATGATCCCCGAGGGCGGCAGAGCAGGCCTGGACTTGGGACCGGAGCAGCCGCTTCCCCGGGAGCAGGAAAGGGGGGTGGTGAGCACAGGCCTCCCCCAACCCCCGAGTGGCCCAGCATAAGCTTCCGGGCGGCAGCCAGGGCCTGGACCAGCTCTCCCCAGCTGAGCTCTGTGGTTTGGGCACCTCGACGGCCATTTTCTCACCTGTAAAATCAGGCAGCACCACCCCCGTCCAGGCAGTGGACCGAGACCGCACCGAGTGCCAGCCTTGGAGGACGAATGAAAGCCCGTGTCCCTCTCCCACTGTCCTCCCCTCCCTGACCACCGACAGAGAAGGAAAGCCCCTCCCAGCCTGCACGGCTCACTCCCCACCCCCACCCCGGCCTTCCGGGGTCGGAAAACAGTGCAGAGCCTGCAGGCCTGGCAGGATGTGCCCCAGTGCCGAGGACAGGGAAGCAGCACGAATCACTCCTGCAGGCACCCAGAGCAAGCCACAGGCCCAGACGCACCAGGTGCTCTCGTCACAGGCAGAAGCCTGCCCCCTCCCCCTCCCGGAGCTGCTCATGGCTACTTCCCACTGGACGCAGCAGCGAAGGAGTGTCCGTGTGCTGGGCGTACCTGTCTGCAGCACTCACCCTGTACTGGCCAGGCGCCCCAGCCCGCAGCACCCAGAGGATGGTGATGGAGAAGCCCCGGCAGCCGCTGCTCTGCCGCGGGTCACTGGCCCCGAGATACAAAGTCCTTTAGCCCCAGGCTGTTGGAGGCTGGGCTGCGGCCAAGGCCGAAATGGGGGAGGGGGCTCCCTGAGCAGCGTCCGCCCCCAGAAGCCCAGGGGCCCCCGGCACTGGAGGCCCAGGTGGCTGAGGTAGGGAAGCAGCCACAGAGGGAGGCCAGGCTTCTGTGTGGGCGTAGGACACGCTGCCCCGGCTCAGTCACTGCCACAGTCGCCCTGCCGTCTCCCCCAAAGCCCCACACACTGCCAGAGCAGGACGAGGCACTGTGGAAGCAGCCATGCAGGACACAGCCTGTGCCCAGAACACTGCCGCACTTCCTAGAACCTGCCCAGGTCCAAGCCCACCGCCCCCCACCCCCAACTGAAACCCAGGCCGGAAACTGAGGCCTTCCCAGGATCCTCGTCTGCCGGGAGAGCCCCTACGCAGGACAGCTGTGGGCCACGGCCACTCAGGGCCCGCGAGGGCCGAGCCTTGGCAGCTGTGTGTGAGCAGCTCACTCTAGAGTGTGTGGCGTTTGGGGAGGGGGGACGGCAGGCTGCGGTAGCCCAAAAGGAGGAGTTGAGTGGGCAGATTCCCACTGCCCCCAAACCTGCACCTGCCCCTAAGGCTGAAGCAGGGAGAGGCCCCTGTTGAGAGCTTGAGGCGGCAGTGGCAGAGCCACGTGGGTAAAGATAACCATGGGGACCGAGGGTTGAAACAGTGCCGAGCCAGGAGCCGAGGGCAGGAAGCAGGCCGCGGGCCCAGAATGCCCTCCTGCGAGGCCCAGGCTCCTGCCTCTGGCCACGCAGCACCAGACCGAGCCCTGGCACCCTGCAGTGACCTGAGTGCCAGCCCCTTTACCCATGCTGGCACCTGTCCAGAAAGGGACTCTGGGTGTGGACCTCCCAGTGGGCACTGCTCTGGGTGCATCTGTCCCCCACGACAGCACAGGTGGGTGGGGCCCGTGCTGTGTCTGGTGGGGGCAGGGGGTTGATCAAGAAGTTCCACAGGCTGCACTTCCCAAGTCTGAGCACTCTTTTTAAGATTTATTTGAAAGGCAGAGAGAGAGAAATCTTCCATCTGCTGGTTCACTCCCCAAATGGCTGCGATAGCCAGAGCTGGGCCAGCCACAGCCAGGAGCCAGGAGCTTCACCTGGGTCTCTCATGTGGGTGGCAGGGATCCAAGCACTCGGGCCATCTTCCACTGATCTCCCAAGTGCATTAGCAGGGAGCTGAATTGGAAGTGGAGCAGCCAGGATTTGAACCAGTAACCACATAGGATGCCAGTGTTGCAGGCAACAGCTTAACTCACTAAACTACAATGCTGGCCCCAAGCTCGGGCTCTCTGGAATGCCCTCAACTGCACCACTGAGCCGCAGCCATTTCCTGCTGGCCTGCACTGAGCCGCACCCCTTCCGGAAGGGAGGCCAAGAGCCCGGCAGCTCAGGCCAGCGCCTGCCTTGGGGACATCACGTTGCCTCTCTTGCGGCTGCTGCTACACAGCGAACCTCCCCTCCTGATCGGAGAGGGGGAAGCGGCAGGGAGGAGAAAAGCCACCCCCACCAGCCAGATCCCTCACCCTGGTTTCCTCTCCAGACCTGACAACCCAGAGGCCAGGTGCTATTTTCTGCAAATGCCAGCTGACAGATTCCTTTTCTTGGCCTCTGGTTGTGCACTGGAGACAGGGAGCTGGGACAGCTTTGCCTGTCACTCGGGATGTGTAAATAAGTCCTCGCCAGCCAGGGCGCGCCCCAGGGAAGCAGGGCTGTCCACAGCACCTGTCCCTCGGCCGCCTGTCCGGACAGGCCACAGACGGTCCCCACTGTTCTCTTCGCTTCCATTTTCTCCCGCAGCAGGGAGTGCCAATTATCAGGTCAGCAAGAGGCAGGTAAAGGTCTGGACAACCACTCACCAGCTCGGCCTACGTGCCAGGCCCCATGCCGGCGGACAAGGATGCGGTGGTGGTGACCAGTGAATGGAGAGGGGCCTCCACACCTGCCCAGGCCCTGCTGCACGTGCACTTGATCATGGAGCCCCCACCGCCCCCACCCTGCACCCTTTTTACAGAAAAGGAACCACCGCCAGTGGGACCAAGTGCACACCCAAGCTCACCATGAAGCCAGGTTTCAACCCAGCCGGTGTGTCTCCCTCCTGGGCAAGAGCTCCGGCCAGCCAGGACTCTCAGAGCCTTCACCCAATGAGAGGAATTCATGTGACGGGTATGTGAAAATCGCAAACACGAGCCGAAAGTTGGACTCCTGATCAAAGCCACCTGTCCCTGGCCTGGACCCCTCAGGGCCACCAGCGCACTGCACTGCCCATCAGAGCTGGCGGCCGTGGCAAGTAAGCCAGGCAGCTTCAACTGGTTCAAAAAACCATCAAAATGTCCCCTGAAGCTCCACCACTTCAGACCTCCACTGAGGAGCAGACACACACGGGATTCGTTCATCGGACCATCACCGGCGACTTTTGGCGCAGACAACGTGCCCTCAGCAGGAGCAGCCCCACTGGGGAGAAGGGCAGAGCAGAGTCTCCCAGCTGTGCAGCCAGCCGCAGGCCCCGGGACGCTCCTGGGATCTGCGCAGCTTCTGTCCCGAATCTCCCTGTTCTCACCCAGGGTCTCCCGGGCCTCACAGGGCCGTGGTGGGCAGAAGGCCCCATGGAAGGGAAATGCAAGGCTTGGAGGACAGTCGGCCAGTGTGTCAGTCTGAAAGCCCAGCCCAGTCTGCACTGCCCACCCCAGGCCCAAGTCCCAACCCCTCCCCCAGCAAATCCATCTCAGGCCCGAGGGGGAGAACAGAAGACCCCAGGAGCCTCCAAGTCCCCTTCTGCCCCGCCCCCCACTCTGTCCCTGCCAGCCACAGCAGCCTCCAGCAAAAGCAGGTCAGAACCAGAAAGAGTTCCTGGCAGAGGACGTGGTGCTGGACATGATGGATGGGCTGCCGCACGCTGTCCTAAACGTGTCCGGTGGGCCCCAGGGCCGGCGGCCAACCGGGGCAGATGAAAGCAGGACTTTGCCTGGCTGTCAGGCTGCAACAGCCCATATCAAAGCGCCCAGAGAGGACAGACCGCGGCTGAGATTTCTGGGTGAGAGACAATGCAGCCGACAGGAGGGAGGCAGCGTGGAGGCGCCTGCTGGGGCTCCAGCCTGCCAGTCGCTGGGCCTGGGGCCCTGACGCGCTCAGCGCTGCGCGGAACTGCAGCCATCAGCAGCCCTGCGTGGCTCCACAGCTCCATCCCACCCTCTGCCACCCCCATTCAAAGTCAGCAGCCAGGGGGAGGCGGCCTGAGCCGCTGGCGCCACACAGGTCTCTATGGGTAAGAGACGAAGCAGACTATAGAGAAAGGAGATGAGAGCCTGGCAAGAGTGGACAGGGCCCCTGGGGCCGGAGGCTGCTGCTTGGTCCCAGCCTCTTTGGAAGGCAGTGACAATTTCAGGGCCAACACTGCCCCCTGGTGCAGGCAGCCGCCACTGCTGACCAGGAGCCCTTGGTCAGTGTGGCAGGGAGGAGGGCAGGACTGTGACAAGGGGGCTCTCGCAGGAAGGCCATCTGGGGAGGGGCTTTTCTCTCTCTCTTTTTTTTTTAAAGATTTCTTTATTTGAAAAGCAGTGTTACAGAGAGGCAGAGGCAGAAGCAGAGAGAGGTCTTCCCTCTGCTGGTTCACTCCCCAAGCCACAGCTGCTGGAGCTGTGCTGATCTGAAGCCAAGAGCCAGGAGCTTCTTCCAGGTCTGCCACGTGGGTCCAGGGGCCCACGGACTTGGGCCATCTTCCACTGCTTTCCCAGGCCATAGCAGAGAGCTGGATCAGAATTGGGGCAGCCGGGACTCGAACCGGCGCTCATATGGGATGCCGGCACTGCAGGCTGCGGCTTTACTTGCTATGCCACAGCGCTGGCCCCTGGGGAGGGTCTTAAAGGGCTAAGAAGGGATGTGCGGGGAGGGAGGGGAGGAGGGAAGGGTCCAGGCGTGGGGGAGGCTGGCAGGAGGTGAAGGCACCAAGAGGAGCCCGGCAGACAGCCGGGGTCTGACAGAGCGCACCTGCCCGGTGAGGAGCACGGCTGGATCCTGTGTCCGGGGCTGTGCTGGGAAAGCCGGGCAGGGCGACAGAGCTCCCACGGCGAGGGCCACTCGGGCGGGAAGCCTACGAGGAAGCCAGATCTGAGCGGTGAGTGGCTTTTCACCACGGCCGTGCGGCTCCTGAGACAAGCCACACTCAAGGAGAGGCCCGTGTTTCCCCTCACGCTGCCCCCACTGGCCCCTGAGGCGACACAGAGCACCTGTTGGAGTCTGTGTGCCACCTTCTCAAGCCACAGGGCTCACTCACGGGGGCTCCACCCTAACAACCCCGATCCTCCCAAAGACCTCCCCCTCTCCGTGACACTAACGGCAGCCGTGGCAGACCAGAACAAATCAGCGTCAACTGTGGCCAGGAGGTAGAAGTAGAGGTAGAGGCCCTAATGCAAGTGGGAGATGAGAAGTGGAGCCAGGCAGGGTGGCAGGGATGCAGAGGGTGACCGGGTCAGGAAACAGGATGGGAAACTGACCGCATCTACAGCTACCAGGCCAAGAGGCAGCGGGAAGACGACCTGGGTTCCTGCTTCAAGGTAAACAGTGGCGCCACCGCGAGCAATTAAAGACCACGGAGGCAGAGGTAGGTGCTGGCCCTGGGGAGCTGGAGTTCAGTGGGCGCTCTCCAGCCAGAGACAGATCTGGGAGTCCCCCAGCCCGCTCAGAAGCAAAATCAGGAGGCTGTGAAAACGCCCACGGAGGAGACTGGAGCAGATGACACAGAGGGGACGGCCAGGGCCCAGCCAGAGCCACAGGAGTGTTGCCATGACAGCCGGAGGCTCCAAGGAAAACAGCTGACCGGTGGCTGAGCAGCCCAGCAGGAGGGCTCCACTCCCTGGGGGCCTTAGCTGTAGCTGTTGGGGGGGGGGGGTGGATGAGAACAGAGGGAGCTGAGAAGTGAGGAAGTCTCCCATTCAAAGTCCCCAAAGTTCAAAGTTTGGACAGAAAGTTCCTGAAAGTTTCGGGAAGAAGAGCAAGGCAGGTGAGACCAAGGGCACTGGGCTGAGGGAGGTGTTTCCTAAGTGAAAACCACACAGGTCCGACAAGACGCAGCGCGCACACAACTGTCCCTTCCAGAACCCCGCGGAAACATCGGTGAGGAACACTGGGAATGGGAAAGGCGGCGGCACGGATGAGGGCAGCCAAGCAAACCCTGGACGGGCAGTCATGACCGAGGGGATGCCCCGCCAAGCAAGCCTTCGGAGCTGCACACTCCACAGGCCCAGGACCCTGCAGGCCAGGTGTCCCAGCCCCCCCTGGTGGAGTGAGGTTGGCAGCAGACAGAAGCCTGCTTCAAATCTGTGAGAGTCAGTGCCCAGGCGCCTCACCCCTCCCACGCAGTCAGGGCACCTGCCTCCATCCCCAGAGGAGCGGCGGTGGCCGCAGCACACATGGCCCTGCAGCTGCTGGTGCCTTCCCAGCTCGCGGAGGCCAGGGAACCTCCAGGGTCTACACGCTGCTGCCCGAGGGCACACTGCTGGGATGAGTCAGGCCCAGACTGTACACAGAATGGGGTGGGGAAGGGGGTGAGTGAGCAGAACGGAGTAGCGACCCCTTGGCCCCACGGAGCTGTTACCAGGCTCCTGCCAGGCAGCAGACCAGCGGGCCCCTCTCAGAAGCCAGCCCAGGGCCCGAGTCTCCTCCAGCAGCCAGACCTCGGCCCACAGCTGTGCTCGGCTCAGACGTGTCCCTGGCCTTGTGCCCTTCGTCAGAGTGACGCTCGGCTGCCCGTCACCAGATATTTGAGGGAACTGCCAGGAAACCCACCCAAATTGGACATTTTGTAGAAAGGAGACCGAGGAGCAAAGCAGGCCAGAGGGCCGGCCCTTAGGGACCCTGCAATGAACCTCCACCTCCGCGGAGGAACGCACACAGCGCAGCCAGAAGTCAGGGCGGCGGCTATTCTAAAAAGACGACAGGAAAGAGCTCTAGGAAAATAAAAATAGGGAGCAGCAACTTCCAAACACGATCAATAGAATTATAAGGCAGCCAGGACGTCACCCGGAAAGACCAACACTGGGAAACAGGAGGGGAGATGAGAAAGTGAGAGACGCAGGCCAGCGAGTGCAGCACCTCGCTGCCCTGGGCCCCAGAAAGAGAACAGAAGGCCAGAGGGGAGCGGTTTGCCCAGGAAGGCTCCTGGGATGGACACACACGACTGCACGATGCGAGAGCTCCGGGGTCCAACACGATGCCGAAGCGGGGGCAGGGCGTGAGTCTCCTGGATTTGTTTCCTGTTGCTACGGTAACAAGTGACCAGCGACGGGGTGACATCAAACAACAGAAACGTGTCATCTCTCTCCGTTTGGGAGGTCAGAAATTCAACAGCAGCCCACTGGGCCACGATCAAGGTTGCCGCGGCCAAGCTCCCTCCGGGGGCCTGGGGAGCATCCGCTGCTCGTCCCTCCGGGGGCCTGGGGAGCATCTGCTGCTCGCCTCTTGCAGCTGCAGTGGCTGCTGGGACTCCCTGGCTTGTGGCCGCACCCCTCCAGTCTCTGCCTTCCCCTCAAAGGACAGCCGTGGTGACATTCAGGGCCCACCTGCAGAACCCAGGATGACCTCCCACGCCAAGGCCCTCAGTCACCGCTGCGACGGCCCCTATCCCTTCCGGGGTCGCGCACTGGGGACTGGCGCCATCTTGCAGCCGCCCGCGTTCCTGAGGACAGCAGGCAGCCTACAGCAGTGCTCCACAGCAGTGTGAGCCCCCGCTAAGGGCTTCAGGTGGCGGAGAACTGGGGAGCCCGGATTCTCCACCAAGCGTGAGTACAGTGCACGTATTCACACGCGTGCTTGGCCTGGAAGTCTAGCCCTCATTAGTCCATTTGCCTGGGAAGTTCCGGGACCGACACTAGACATGAACCAAGAAGGAGGGGGCCACGGGGCCCAGGCCCTGCACTCAGCACAGGGCACTCTCGGGGATGGCAGGGGTCCCCGGCCGCACGCGGTGCAGCAGGCCAGGAGAGCTCCCAGACGGGAGGCAAGTGTTTAGCAGACGGAAGGTGGGGGACCTGGTGCTGCTCAAAACGGAGAGGAGAGGGCAGGGTGCAGTCTGCCTGGGGATGGGGAGTGAGCCAGCATCACTTCCGGAAAGTACAGAAACACCTGCTGCATCTCTGGATGCGGATATGGCCTTGATCTTAGCAACGCAAAATCCGGAAACGTACGGAAACCAAAATGTTTTACATTCCCACGCTGGGAGGACCAGGAGGGAAAGCGTGGGCTGCCGACTCCTCCTCGGCAGGCAGAGTGGAACCCTACCGGGACAGGAGGCTGAGCAGCCAGGACGGCAAGGCGCTGTCGCTGGACGAGTCACGGGGAGGGTGGCTGGGACGGGGACTGCACAATCGGACCTTCAGAGTGTCCCCATGTACTATTTTGATAAAATAAAAGTTAACTTAGAAAGGGAAGCCACACTCCATATTCCCCTGTGGTTCTTCCTAATCCCATTCCTGGTCCTTTCCCTCTTCTGCCCAGGGCTGACCACAGCCCAGAGTTGCTGGAGACGCTTCCTGGTGTTCGGTTTACCTGGCTAGAAGCTGGTGTTACTCATAGCCATGTGCCTCTGTTTTGATTTTTTGCATAAATGATAAACGTTTATCTCTCATCTAACCTATTTTATCTATTCTCCTATCTATCTGTGAGACAGAGACAGCTCCCATCTACTTACTTATTCACTCCCCAAATGTCCCAAGCGGTCAGCGACGGCTGGAGCTGGGCGTTCAATCCAGGCCTCCCATGTGGGTGGAAGGAACCCAAACACAGGAGCCATCACCACTGCCTCCCAGACCCTGCATCAGCAGAGAGCCGGACAGGAGCCAGAGCCGGGAATCGAACCCAGGTGCTCCGTGTGGGACACAGCCACCTTAACCATATCTTTACTGCTAGACTAAGCAGCTGCCCCTGTATAATCATTTGAATTCATTTTTTTATCCAGTACAATACTTTAAATCTATCCACATTGATACAAGTAGATCTAGTCCATTCATTTTAATGGCCGTGTAGTATATCATACACACATACCACAGTCTACCCATGCCCAAATGAGGACCACTACTGACCAAATATTTACAGCCCTCTCAAATTCCTGTGGCTGAAATCCTGACTCCACTCCCAAGGGGATGGTGTCGGGGGTGGAGCCTTTTGGAAGGTGATCAGGTCGTGGGTCAGAGCCCTCCTGAGTAGGATTTTTTTTTTTTTTTTTTTTGAAAGACAGTTACAGAGAAAGGTAGAGAGGCCTTCCATTCTGCCGACTCACTCCCCAAATGACCGCAACGGCCAGAGCTGAGCTGATCTGGAGCCAGGAGCCTCTTCTGGGTCTTCCACGTGGGCGCAGGGGGGGTACAGGGGCCCAAGCACTTGGGCCATCTTCTACTGCTTTCTCAGGCCACAGCAGAGAGCTGTATCGGAAGTTGAGCAGCCAGGACTCAAACCAGCGTCCATAAGGGATGCCGGCACTGCAGGCTGGGGCTTTAACCCACTGCACCACAGCGCCGGCCCCGGGATGAGTGTCTACCAAAGAGATTCCACAGATCTCTGTGAATGTGGAAGTGACCCTCACCACTCAGTCCTGGACTTCCAGCCTCCAGAGCTGTGAGAAATAAGGCTCTGTGGGACTGTGTGAGAGCTGCCCAAGCAGATACCGTTCTGTAGCTGGGAAGAACTGCACCGGGTGACAGGTCCATGGAATTCGCTAGACCATTTACTCCAACTCTGTGTCTATTTGAAAAGAGCCCTAATAAAAAGTCAAACAGGTGCCGTGGTAAGATGACCCTTGGGACGCCCACGTCTGGTATCAGAGTGCCCGGGTCAAGCCCAGCTCCGCCTCTGACTCCAACTTCTTGCTAACGCAGGCCCTGGGAGGCAGCCGGTGATGGCTCAGTCGGGTCCCTGCCACTCACATGGGAGACCAGGATTAAGTCTGTGGCTCCTGCACTGGCCTGGCTGTTGTGGGCATTTGGGGAGTGGGCCAGATGACAAATTCTCTCTGCCTTTCAAATAAAGTGAAAAATAGATTTTATAATTAAAAAAAGTAAAAAAAAAAAAAACTTAAAAACAAAATACCCTGACCCCATACACAAAGCGTACAAGAATCCCTGTAAAACATATGCCTAGAACTGTAGCTGCTGGATCAAACAACAGCTATGTTTTAATGTCAATATTGCCAAATACCTCTCTAAAGTAGCTGTGAAACAGGACAGACACAGGACTCCATCAAGCCCTTCCTGACCTGACACATATCCATCTCCAGCTCCAAATAAACCAATAACAAGGAGTGTTCAGATCTGACCCCGAAAGATGCCCTACTGCCCTGTTAGGTGCCCCCGCGGCCTGCACGGATGCCCAGAATAGCCTGATGTGACCAACACGTGACCTTCCTGGGCAGTGGGGGTGAGCAACAGCGCCAGTGACAGCAGGTCTGTGCGAAAGAGGCAGCACACTGCACAGAACACCAGGCCGGTGCAAACCGAAGTGCTGTGTGCTGCGAGCGGCGAGCCCAAACTCCAGGTCGAGCTCCACATGCCAAGGGGGGACCCCTCTCCTCCACGCGGAACCACCGCCCTCCGTGCTTTGTGTCCAAGCATAAACTCCAATAAACCTTGTCTGGGTTGCACGCTGGCCTCTTGTCAATTGCTGTTTGCAAGTGAGCCAAAGAACCCAATAATCGCTACAGTCACCATGAGTGCCTGAGAACTCCTATTACCCCATAGCTTTACAAACTCTTTTACTGTGGCTTTGCTCTTATCAACCTTATGGGTATAAATGGGTATCTTCTTTTAATTTTCAGTTCCCTGTATCAGTGAAGTTGGATATCTTCTCATGGTGGTGGACTTATTTTTATGTTTTCTCTTTTGCAAATTGCCTGTTCATATAATTTTCCCATTTTCCTGCTGGGCTGTTTGTCTTTCTTTACATATTTGAGACAAGAATCCACTCGGCATTAGGTACGTTTAGCAAGTCATAGGAAGAGGGAGGGGAGGAGCGAGGAGGGAAGGAGAGGATGAAGCAGTGAGGGAAGAATAAGAGATGGAACAAGCCCAGGGGAGGCCCTGAGACTCAGGAGAAAGACGCCTTGAGCTTAGACGAGCAGCTCTGCTTCTCTGAGGCCGCAGCGCCCAGACTGTCTGGGACAGTTTCAACTGCAAACTATCCTGCTGTCTGGCCACAGGTGGCTGCGAGGCAGCGCTGCCAGGGACCCAGGCGTCACCTGATGCTCTGACTCAGCAAGGCCTGAAGTAACTGAAGCTGCTTCTCCCTCACTCATCTGCACTGAGACACACAGACGTCGCTCTCCAAGGGGCACAACCAAAGAGCAAAGCCACAGCCTGAGGAGAGCCCGCTGCAGCCGGCAAGGCCCCCAGTCCACACCCACACCCTCACTGCTTGCTGGCTGCAGCTGCTCAAGGACCAGGGCTGCTGTGTTCAGGCTGTGCCAGAGGTGGCTCAGACTACACCCTACGGGAAATGTGTGCCAGTCCAATCAGCGAAACACAGATTAGGAAAGGCAGGGGCACCCACGGAACCGGCTGGTCCAGGTGCAGAGGTCCTTCTGGAAGAGCCTGTGGACCGACTTACTGTACACGAGTCTCTGGGACGTCTGCGATTCCCTTACCTTGGAGAAGGGGAGCAAAGCAATCTTCAGTCCGCATTTTGGCATCTACCTACAGAATGCTGCTTTAATATTCTTTCTTTAGAAGAAAAAGCAAAAGTGAGACACACGGGGGGTGAGATACTAAGTTTAGTTTGGGGGCCAAAGATATGGTGTAGTGGGTAAAAGCCACTGCCAGCAACACTGGCATCCTATATGTGCACTGGTTCAAATCCTGGCTGCTCCACTTCCAATCCAGCTCCCTGCTAATGTGCCTGGGAAAGCAGTGGCAGATGGCCCAAGGGCTTGGGACCCTGCACCCACGTGGGAGACCCAGAAGAAGTCAAGCTCCTGGCTCCTGACTTCAGCCTGGTTCAACCCCGGCTATTGCAGCCATCTGGGGAGTGAAGCAGCAGACAGAAGACCAACCTCTCTCTATATATAACTCTGCCTTTCAAATAACTGAAATAAATCTTTACAAAGAAAAAGTTGTAGCTTGCGATGCACCAGGACTCAGAGATGTGCAGCCATCACGACCTTCCAGGAAAATGGGGGCAGCAAAGCCGCTGCTTCCTCCCCCTCCCCGACCCTGAGCTTCCCCAGGGAGAAAGAGCTAAGGGCAAGGGCTGCTGGGGTTGGCAACTCGAAATGAAAACGACTCAGTTAAACCTGAATTTCAGATGAACAGCAACTTAAACTTACATTTGAAAGTAAACTCCATATAATATTTGGGGCACAGTTACGCTACAGGACTATTTGTTGCTTATTTGATTTTAAATTTAACTGAGAATCCTGTGATAATCTGGAAACCCTAATGGGTCAGCAACACCCTTGACCGGGACTTCTGGGCCTTGGGCACTCCCCGACCTGGGCCAACCCCACTCTCCCCTGTGTGAGCACTTTTCTCCCTCCTGAAATCCTACTTCAGTAGAGATCTTTATAAAGCTCTATAAACCCAAGGACAGAGCAAATGGGAGAGGGAGGACACTGATACAATTGTGAAAGCTGGAATGAACCCCAAAGCATGGGCCTCCACTTCCTGCTGGCCCCTGCTGGGGAACCCTGGACACTGGGCCCCTCCATGCCCATCTCGTCATCTGGAGACCACCCCTGTGCAGGCCGACTCCCTGCAGAGGGGAAAGACAAGTCTCAACACCGGGGCGAGGGCCTGGGGACGCTGGTGACAGCAGGCGGGTTGAGTGGCTGCACATCCTGCCCCTCCTCCCATGCAGCTCCCAGGAGAGAGGACCTCTGTGTGCCGATGCCGAGCTCCCCCAGCACACAGCCCACCCACATCGCTGACTGTGAAACTCTGGGTCCCCCGGGCCACTTCTGAGTCCCATACTGGCCACCAGGCGCAGGCAAAGATCACTGGGCAGATTCATTCAAAGGAGAGAGGGACAGCAGCAGAAAAAACAACTGGGAGGAAAGCGGCCTTGAGAGAAGCGAACTTAAAGAAACAAACACAGCATCGACACCTGCAGAGGAATCCGCACGACTCCATCGCTGAGGCAACAGGGCGCATGTGCACACCCTTACAAAGACCCATTCAGGCAGCAAACAAAGCCTGGGAAATTAAAAATATGATTGGAAAAAAAAACTAATAGAAGGGGTGCAAGGTCAGATAAAAGAAACCTAGAAACTGAAGCAAAAAGACAAAGAAATGGAAGAGAAACAAGAAGGAGGAGAAACTCAGGAGCCAAATAACCTGAGTTTCAGAAAGAGAAAGCAGTGAAACCAAGGGAAGAAGCAAACTCTTAGAAGGAAGCCCCAGGCAAGAACCCAGCGAGAGCCACAGAGCAGAAGGGCCCGGCCACACCAGGGCCTGCCGTAGCTTCCGCTCCCAGGAGCTCTCAGAATGGGGCGGAGAGAGAGGATGCGAGGAACCAGGAGTGAGACAGCATTGGGGTTTCTCAGCAACCTGAGAAGAAAAGCTCAAAGCAATCCTTCAGCCTCTCCAGCTAAACTATGGATCGGAGATGAAGGTGAGCCCCAGGTAGAGCGGGGTGATGCACTGTCCCGGGGAGCTGCTGGGCTGTGTTCCCCAGGAGCCCCCCCAGCAGAGGGGCAAAGGGGGCCCCCGAGAGCTCCACCAGGGCAGCAGCTGTCTGGGTGCCGACCGCCTGGCTGGGCACCCTGCAGTCCAGGGGAGCGGAAGGAAACGAAGCCATGGTTCTTATGATGAGCCCCCGAGTGCTAACGGCCAGAAGGTGAACCTGACCCCAAAGACCACTACGCGGAAGATGCTGAAATCCGCCCGCTGACCGCTAGACTGACGCCCACGGGCATCTCTCCAGTGAGATCAGAGGCCGGACAACGGCCGCCTCTGGGGAAGACAGGCGGGTAAAGTTATCGCCCAGCGTTCGCCCTTTTGTCCCACATACGTGAGTATCTGCTCAAAGGAATGAGTACATACCAGTTGTGGAAAGTATCCTCCACTTTCAGGAAGCCGCCCCTGGTTTCCCACCACCGCGGCCCCAGCAACCTGCGAGGCTTCCCCCAGGCCCGGGCGCGGGAGCTTCAGTTACCCACAGTCAACTGCGGTCCAAAAATATTAAGTGAAAAGTCCCAGGAATAAACAGTTCCTCAGTTTTAAAGGGCGTGCCGCTCTGAGTGGTCCCACGCTGCCCTGCCTGAGGCACGGGCCACCCGGCCGGACACACTACCCGCCTGTCACTGAGGAATGCCCAGGTATCAGACTCTGCCACGCTACTGCGGTGCTTCTGTTCCATGACACGCGAGTGGCGGGGCTACACGCTTGGGTGTGCCGAAGAACAGCATAAAGTGCTTCCTTTAAGTGACTTCACAAGGAAAGAACAACACTCATGCTGGTCGCTAAGACCTATGCTAAGAAAGAGTCTTCTCCCTGTGAAACTGTGAAAGAAAAGGAAACGCGTGCCAGTTTTCTGTCACGGCTCGAACTGCAGAAGTCAGGGCAGGCAGAGTTAGACAGAGAGAGACAGAGAGAAAGGTCTTCCTTTTCCGTTGGAACCTCATTTCTTGCCCTCTGCAGGCAGGCAGTGTCACCTCCCAGCGACACGAGAGGAAGGGCAAGTACAGTGCAAGGAGCTCTCTGAGAGACCACACGCACGTAACTTTTACTGCACTGTACTGTGCTACTGTTCTACTACTGCTGCCGTTAATCTCTTAGCGTGCCTGGTTTATAAATTAAACTTTATTGGAGCTGGCATTGTGGCACAGTGTGTCAGGCCATCGCTTGTTGATACTAGCATACCATATTGGAGCACCAGTTCAAGTCCCAGCTGCTCCACTTCTGATCCAGCTTGCTGCTAATGCACCTGAGAAAGCAGCAGCAGATGGCACAAGTGCTCGGGCCCTGCCACCCACACGGGAGACCAGATGGAGTTCAAGTTCCTGGCTCCTGGCCTTGGCTTGGACCAACCTGGGTCCACTGCAGTCAACTGGGGAGTGAACTAGCAGAAGATCTCTCTCTTTTCATCTCTCCATGCCATTCTTCCAAATTAATATATCTTTTTTAAAAAATTACACTTTGTCGGCCAGCGCCGCGGCTCACTAGGCTAATCCTCCGCCTAGCGGCGCCGGCACACCGGGTTCTAGTCCCGGTCGGGGCGCCGGATTCTGTCCCGGTTGCCCCTCTTCCAGGCCAGCTCTCTGCTGTGGCCAGGGAGTGCAGTGGAGGATGGCCAAGTGCTTGGGCCCTGCACCCCATGGGAGACCAGGAAAAGCACCTGGCTCCTGGCTCCTGCCATCGGATCAGCGCGGTGCGCCGGCCGCAGCGCGCCGGCCGCAGCGGTCATTGGAGGGTGAACCAACGGCAAAGGAAGACCTTTCTCTCTGTCTCTCTCTCACTGTCCACTCTGCCTGTCAAAAAAAGAAAAAAAAAATTACACTTTGTCATAGGTACATACGTCTGGAAAACAGGACAGGGGCATCCCCTGAGGATCTCGGAGCGCACTGCCCAGGACAAGGGAGGCCGCCTGGACGACCAGCTCGTCACTGTTCCGTAAACTGGGTACAGGTAACTCGCTCCAGGAGCGCTGGAACCCAACTTCTGGCTCACTTAATTCTTGCCACAAGCCCTTGGGACGTCATCGGCACTCATTGTGTTAATAAGAAAGGGACACTCGGAAGGCCCCACAAGGATGAGCAGGCCCGTCCACCCCCACGCTCTGTTTTCTCACAAGAGTGCCTGGCTCACAGCATGAATGCTAAGATCTTGAACAAAATCCAAACAAAACTGAATTGGAATTAAAATTGTCTAGCAGAGATGGGGTAGAGTGTGCTGAGAGGCAGGCAGCGCCCCCACCCAGCCGGCACAGGCCAGGGCAGGTGGTCACAGAATAACTAGCAGATAAATATAACAAACACAGCGAAGTTTCCTTATTCAGTCAGTGTCTTTCAGCCTGCAGGGTCAGGTCTGTGTTAACAGCTTTCCTGAGATACACTTCATAGTTCACACACTTAAAATACAGTTCCATGTTTAGTGCAGTCACAGATAATACATATCCATCACCACCATCAACTTTTCTTTCAAAAATTTATTTATCTGAAAGGCAGAGAGAGACAGAGACAGAGATCTTCCACTCGCTGGTTCACTCCCCAAAGGCCTGAAACTGCCAGAGCTGGGCCAGGCTGAAACCAGGTGCCTAGAGCTGCATCTGGGCCTCCCACGTGGGCAGGTGGGGCCCAAGAACCTTCCAAGGTGCGCGTCCACGGGAAGCTGGACTTGCACCCAGGCATTCCAAATACACGCCTACAGTTTTAGGAGACTTCGCCTTCCCGCGGCCATCACCCTGCAGCCCCACAGCTGCTGCAGCCCCAACCCACCAATCTATCCGTCACGCACTTGCCTATTCTGGACATCTCCTCTAAATAGAATCATAAGTCACGTGGGTTTTGGGGACTGGCTTCTTTGACTTAGCACACTGATTTCAAGGTTCTTCCACAGTGTAGCATGTATGTCTCAGTGCTAATTAAAATCCCATCATGAGGCCGAAACTCTGGCATAGAGGGTAAAGCCATCGCCTACAGTGCCAGCATCCCATATGGGCGCTGGTTCAAGTCCCACTTCCAATCCAGCTCTCTGCTGTGGCCTGGGAAAGCAGTAGAAGATGGCCAAGCTCTCTGGGCCACCTGCACCTACGTGGGAGACCCAGAAGAAGCTCCAGGCTTCTGGATTTGGATCAGCCAAGCTCTAGCCGTTGTGGCCATTCGGGGAGTGAACCAGCAGATGGAAGACCTCTCTCCCTCTCTCTCTCTCTCTCTCTCTGCCTTTCAAATAAACAGATGAATCTTTAAAAAAAAAAAAAAAAAAAAAAAGACAGTGGGCCCTCCAAGGGGCCTCTGTGGAATCAACCAACATGGCTCACACATTTCCAGAAAGAGAACAACACTGCCTCAGTGCTGACGTGCAGCTGGGCCCGCGGAAGCTGCATCTGTACTGAACACACACCCCTTTTTCTTGTCATTGTTCCTTAAACAGCACCGCTGTTTACACACAGCATTCACACTACCTCGGGTATTACAAAGACTCTAGAGATGAGAGGGAGGGTGTGTGGGTTCTAAGTAAATACTGTGCCATTCTCTATCGGGGACTGGAGCATCCACGGGGGATCCCTGAACCAATTCCTCGTGGACACCAGGAGCGACTGCACAAGTGATTCCTGCACATTGATCTCGGCTCTGTATTCTCGCGAGCTCGGTTATTAGTTCTAATAGATTGTTAGTGGCTTCCCTGGGCTTTTCTATACAAGATCATGTCAGCTGCAAATAAAGCTACGTTTGCTTCCCCCTCTCCGCGCTGGATGCCTTTTAGTGCATACTTGTCCCCAACTCCCTGACGACGATGGTGCGAACGGTGACAGGTTTGCATCTGGAGACAGCAGCTGCTCCGACCACGGACGGCAGAGCTGTCATTGCCCACGTGCCCTCTGTGAACGGATGCTTCCACCCTGCCAGGGGAGGGCTCCTACACACCGCCCTGCGTCCCCTGGCTCTGCCCTGCTCTGTGCCCAGGGAAGCTGATCCCTTGGAAGGAGGCACCCGGGCTCCCCTGCTGGCCGACTTCTCACAGGTTCTGCCACGGGAGCCCTGGGCAGGAGACAACATCGGGCATCTTCCCTCCTCTGTGCCAGCTTTGGTGCCGCTGCGCGGCCTGGGTCTGCATCTTGGCTCCACAGGCTGTTCTGGCCTCCGCGGCTTCAACCCTCTCCAGTCTCAGGAGGGAGCACCTAGTGGTAGTAACGGCTTTCACCTGCGCCTAAGCCCTGGGTGCCTGGACTTCCCTTGCAGGGTGCCATGACTTGTCCTGGCTGGCTGACCTAGAGTCTCAGAAACAATGTGCAGCCCTCAACCTCCACTGGCCAGCGCCCACTGCTGCTCTGCTCGACCCACACCCAAACCACCCACACAAGAAGGCCCCGTGGAACCCAGCCCAGGGGGAAACTTGGATTCCTGAGCGAACTGACTACCAGAGTGGCCAATCCATGAGCCAAAGAGACAGCAAAGAGACAGTGAGAGACTTCAGTGGCGAAGTGCTTCAGTTCCTGGAAGAACACAGCAAGCGGCAACACCGATGGGACCTGACCTGACCTGGACGATGGTGGCTGCTGCTCTCTCCCTATTTTTTTTTTTTTTTTGACAGGCAGAGTTAGACAGAGAGAGACAGAGAGAAAGGTCTTCCTTTTCCGTTGGTTCACCCCCTAAATGGCCGCCACAGCTGGCACGCTGAGGCTGGCACACTGTGCCGATCCGAAGCCAGGAGCCAGGTGCTTCCTCCTGGTCTCCCATGGGGTGCAGGGCCCAAGCACTTGGGCCATCCTCCACTGCACTCCCGGGCCACAACAGAGAGCTGGACTGGAAGAGGAACAACTGGGACAGAATCCGGGGCCCCAACTGGGACTAGAACCCGAGGTGCCGGCGCCGCAGGCAGAGGACTAACCAAGTGAGCTGCAGCACCGGCCTCTCTCCCTATTTTTTTTTTTAATTTAAAGATTTATTTTCTCTCCCTATTCTTGACCCCCAGAAGAACACACCTCTGTGGATCCTTGCTCTAATCTTTCCTCCTATGCTTTGGAATCAAGCACAGCAACCAGGCCAGAGGCCGCCCTGAGACAGAGTTCTAGGCATCCACTCTTGCTGATTTTGTCATAACAGCCCAACGGCAAAGTGATCTCATTTGCATGAGCTCGCCACTGAGCGACAGCCGCTGCTTCATGTGCCTGTTACCTCATGGGCTCGTCAGACGCCGTGGACAGCAGGACAAGGGACAAGGATGGGACAAACAGCCTGCTCACAGCTCAAAGGTCAACACCACGCAGCCCCCCACCTGCCCATGATGCCAAGAGGTGCCTCGGTCACCGCCACTGCGGGCAGCCTGTCCAGCTCAGTCTCGCTCTGGCAGTTCCTCCTCGCACCATCCCTCGCCCCTGCCTGCCAACCTCCATGCCCCTCCTCGGCCATCCCTCTCGCCCTGGCCCTCCCGACCCTGTGATCACCGAGTGAGGGGACCTCTTCCTCCAGCTGCACCAGTGTCACACCTGTGTCCCTCCCTGCTCTGACCACGGCGCTCCCCTCTCGGGCCAGCTGCGAAACCACAGTCACATGGCCCATCCCATGGGAGCGGGGCCTGACATGGTACCAACTGAGTCCCCGGGGGGCTCTGGAACGCTGCAGAACTGACAAGTGAGTGCCACTCCCCCTTCCTGAGCCGCACGCCCTGGGAACAGGAGAGAAGCACCTGCCAGGAGCCAGCAACACAACCACGCAGGCCTCCTCTGGCCACCATCAGCAGGCAGTGTTTATCTGAATGTATCAATTTCTCCTCAAGGGTGACAGATGGGATGGCTGAAAGCACCAGAAGGGGTGTCGCGGCTGAGAACTTCAGAGCACAGGGGAAATGGTTCTGGGGTCCGAGGGAGCCCCAGGCCGGGGTCAGTCCACCTTCCCTGTCCGGCCCGCCCCAACCCGGAAGGGGAAAGGGCACCTCCTCAGCACCCTGCCCCCTTCTCCACTGGAAGGAAGAGGGCTCATCTGATAGCAGTCATTACAACAATAATAATTCATAATAGCTGTGAGTGCCAGGCCCCGGACCGGGCAACACCCCGCTCATTTCCCAACGCCTGTGAGGCCAGTGTCACTGCACCTGCCAGTTCTATTGGGCTGCGACTTAGAGCCATCATCACGTGGAACCAGATGATCCCAGCGCCCGGCGTTAATCCTCTCTCTGGCTGCTAACAGGCCCTGCCCAGTGGGCAGCACGGGCAGGCTCTTCCTCCACAGACAAGGTCAGGGCCCACCTCCTGCCCTCGGTCCCAGCATCGTGAGACCCTCACGGTTCTCCCCTGCACCACTCTCTGGCCCTGCTCAGGTGACTCACGGGCAGGGCCTCACTTGAGGGAATGACTTCAAGAAAACCGTCAGGAGCTGGAGATTTGGAAGGATTAAGGGAAAAGCCGTGGACCCCGCCCTCAGGAGACAGAAATTCTGATGAGAGGAAAAGGCGGACATGAATAGGGAAAACCATGACCAAGTGAGAGGCCGAGCTTGGCAGGAGACAGGGGCTGCGAAGCGGCAGGGGGTGGGGCTGGCAACACGAGGAGAGGCAGTAGTTTTGGATACAAGGACTCAGGTTCAAATGCTGGCTCTGCCACCACCCAGTTAGATGCCCTTGGGAAATTCACTCTACCCTATGGATCTGTTAGTCTATCTGTAGAATAGACGTGCCCACTCCCCGGCACAGGGAGCTGACAAAGAGGGGACACTTCAGAATGTCCCTCAGCTTCCTCGACTGTAAGCCATGCCACGTGTCCAGAGGAAGACGATCAGAGCACTATCGCCAATAACACACCTAAGGCACAGAGGATTATGTAAGACATGGCTTCTGACCTCAAGAAACCTACTATGTGGAGAGGAGACAAGACAGCCCGCTAGAAACATCGTGACCACGAAACCCCCAGCACGTGCAAAGGGCCAGCAAAGGGAGCGGAGCAGCAGCTGGGCTCTGTCCCCAGAAGGCCCCTCTCCCTCCTGAAGACAGGTGTCCCCTAGCGCCAGAGAAAAGTCTTAGACACTGAATCCCTCCCGGGGGCACTAGGGAGAAGTGGCAGCTTCCTCACCGACCATGGGACAAAGCAGCAGGAAATCTAACGGAAGCACAGTGTCCACATCCCCACCAGCCCCACCTGCAAGTGTGCACACAAGCACACGCGCACATACACACACACACGCAGTGTCTCCTCCTCCTTGAACTGTTATCCCTCGGCCAGGCGGCGAGTAGGGCCTGTTTGCCATTAAAGATAAAGAACCAGAGGCCATTGGGAGCCTTATCAATTTCTCCTCCCCTGAGCGGAGGGAAGGTTCTCTTCTGAGCAAACGGGAGATGTGCCCTCCCCGCGGTCTGAGCGGCGAGCCGCGCGCTTTCCCCCGCTGCTGCCTCAGAACCGCACATCCTGCTGATCCTAGCGCTCCACTTGCCCAGATTCCAACGGGAAAGCTGGGCCTTCCAGTTCCCCAGCTCTGGGACACTGGGATTGGTGCTGAGACCAAGCTGCCCCCGATGACTGGCACCACAGTCGCCGCCGCACAAATCCTGCGTGGTCCAAGCCCAGGGCAGAATCTGTTTTTTCAGTCCAGTGGAGTCCACCCATCCCTGACCGTAACTCTCCCATGAGAGACCATGAAAGATGACCCTGGAGTGTGACCTGGTGCAACTGCCCCTGGATTCCTGTCCTCTAAGGACCTGTTCCCAGAATCCCTCTGTTCTCTCCTTCCTGCAACACCAGCAGGCTGCCAAGTCCCTGAGGGAAGAGTGACGTGACATCCCATGTGCACCCCACCCAGGACGCTGCCTGGAGGCCACGAGTTACACTGGGGGAAGCGACGTCTCTGATCAGTGTAAGGTTTTAGGAGGGGTTCCAGCCTCCCTGGTTCCTGGGAATTAGTCCTCTTAGTGTGGCGGGGGGCTGCCGACCCCAGGGAGGCCTGGCTGCTCCTGAGGCCGGGATCCCCCAAGCTGGGCCCACGGCCCCTCCCTGTTCATACTGAGCTCCAGGTTAAGCCCCTGCCAATGCTTCCCACAGCTGCCCCTCCCTTGCAGCTCAGAGGAGAGGCGCTACTCAGGAGCCGATCTCCGGCTCGGCGTGGGCCAGGAGCAGACTGATGAAGGAAAGAAAACACACACCAGGTCACAGGCCAGCTGAGAGGGGGCGGCCAAAAGCCACTGCCCACAGGTTCTGGGGACGGAGGCCAAGACCAAAGGCTGGAAAGCTGGTTCAAGAGCTGGGCCCACGGCCCGAGGAGGGCAGAGGAGGAAGCCGGCTCGTGCTTGCCGGTGGAGGCCTTGCAGTGCCTCGGGCCGTCCACCTGGCACTGCAGGCTCACGGCCCCTTCTTCTCACAGGGCCAGGAGACTGGATCCCTCCTTATCTAGTGGTCAGTGTGAGCTGATGGCCGGCGTGAGGTCCATGAACCCCACCAGCTCCTCTCATTTACCGTGGAGTTATCCTCAAGCCCACTCCGGCCAGGAGCAGGCAGTCTCCATCGCCTGGCCCACCCCACCGTCGGGAAACAAACCCCCAGGCTGAGCTCTGGCGAGACTCCTGGGGGCAGCGCAGGGAGTCAGCTGCTGCTCTCTCCTCTGCTAATCCTCCTGCACTGAGGTTACTTAGTCCATGAAGGCCTGGCCTGGTCAGGGTGCTCCCCGCATGTGCACCCAACAGGGCCAAGGTCTCGGGTCAGACCAGGTCTGTGGGCGGGGCCTGGATAGCCCTGTGGCAGGGGAGCGCAGGGAGGGGGATGCGCATGTCCCTTCAGGCCCAGGATCCCGACTGCATGGGTCCTTTCCTTTCTGCCTCTTCTCCACCTTCCTCCAGAGCCGACAGGAAGAGGTGTCTGCCTCGTTTCCAGCCCCCCAGTGCAGGGGCTACCCACTCAGGGTACCAACAAAGAAGCAGTGGAGGGCACAGAAGGCGAGCCCAGAAGGGAACTCAGGCCAGAGGCTTTGGCCAGGAGTGCTGAGGTGAGAAACCACAGACACTCCGGCTGCCAGTGCCCCACCTTCTGGCTGGACCATCCTCATCTCCACCCCGGCATCAGGACAGGCACTGGGCACCACTGCCTCCCACACCCGCCTTGAGACTTGCCACGCGGCTGGCGTGCTGTGGGTGGCTGTGGAGGTGGAGGGAACTGTCCACCTCGGGTCTGCACACAGGCCTAGCCTCAGGCGGCAGCAAGACCAGCAGTGAAGCCCAAGAGGAAGGGCACAGCCGAGGAGACGTGACCACAAGCTGCTTTGTTAAGTTTTCCAAACACACCCTCAACCTCTGCACACCACCAGCAGAAGTCAGGACCAGGCTGTGTACCTCACAGAGCGGATAGCTGAGGCCTCGCGATGCCAGCGTGGGAAACAGGTTAGCCAGGTCCAGGTCTGAGAAGAACCTAGCACTGAATCGGCCTGGGGAAGGCACCAGCCCTGGGCAGGGCCCCCTGAGTGGGGAGTCAGCCTAAACCAGGAAGGATAGACATCCCTTTCCCAGGATGCTCTAGGACACTTGGGTTATGAGTAGTGACCTCCGGTCCTCAGAGGATGAACAGGGTACAGGGAACAGATGGCGTCACACAGAACTTGGCTTGGATCTTAACTCAGGTCTGCATGTGTGGCCTTGGGCAAATCACATAACCCCGAGTCTCGACTTCTCATTGTAAAATGGGGCTAACAGCACAGTCGGTGCAGTGTGGGGTAGGAGGACTCGATGCCATGAATCTGAGTTCCTATTCCCCTTGGCTCCCGATTCCTCCCACAAAAGCACGATCTTCCTCATGAGAGGGGTGGGCAGACCAGAAGGAGAAACGGACCCTGGCATTCTGCTGTTTCTCCAACTTGTGTTGTTTTCCCAATACTGAAAAACTCACAGGAGCGACGGGGTGAGGGGTCTGCAGCCTGGGACACACACCCTTCTCCTCCTTCTCCGGCACACACCAGCAGCCCAGCGGCACTGCGCGGTCTAGAACCTCCTCCCCACACCAGCAGCCCAGAGGCACTGCGCGGTCTAGAACCTTCTCCCCACACCAGCAGCCCAGAGGCACTGCGCGGTCTAGAACCTTCTCCCCACACCAGCAGCCCAGAGGCACTGCGCGGTCTAGAACCTTCTCCCCACACCAGCAGCCCAGTGGCACTGCGCGGTCTAGAACCTCCTCCCCACACCAGCAGCCCAGAGGCACTGCGCGGTCTAGAACCTTCTCCCCACACCAGCAGCCCAGAGGCACTGAGCGGTCTAGAACCTTCTCCCCACACCAGCAGCCCAGCGGCACTGCGCGGTCTAGAACCTTCTCCCCACACCAGCAGCCCAGCGGCACTGCGCGGTCTAGAACCTTCTCCCCACAGCTCCCAGCACCTGGGATAGGATCAAAGCAGCAGGCCAGCTGGCTCTGGAGTAGGAACGGTCCCAGGGAGCACAGAGGCCAGCGTTCCGAGAGGAGCAAGGTCCTGGCCTGGTCCTCCCCAGGGCAAGCAAGGGACCAGAAACACCTTCCAGTGGTGCCGATGCCGCTCTACGCAGGACACTTGCTGGAAGCCCACGTCCACTACCCTCCTGGCACTCGGAGACCCCACAGGAGATCAACAATTTTCTGTGGTGGGCACCTCACAAGCTTCCTCCTGCATTGGACCAGACAGAGGTCAGCACAGTCATGTGTGCTGTTCTGCCCAATGCAGCCAGCTGCACCTCTACCAGCACTGGAACCACAGCTGCCTGAAACAAGCTGCTGCCCTCCAGGAAGGTGCCAGACAGGCTAGATCTGTGTGGGAGGGTGGGGGCTAAGGAAGCAGGTGCGGCACCAGGCTGGAGGGGAGCAGGGGGTAGGGTGCCACGAGGAGACGCTCCAGAGAGTCAGTGGAGAGGGCAGAAGGGAGGGAGCACTGTAGCAGGGACACTGGCCAGTGCAGGCTCACAAACCATGCTGAGTGTGGCACAGCTGGAGCAGCAGGTGTGAGCACCAGGCTGGGGCGGGAGCCAAAGACCCAGAGCTCACTGCTCCAGAGAAGCACAGTGTGCTCCGTGCCTGTTTCAATTCAAATGGAAAACCCAGCATTAAAAAAAAAAAAAAAAGACTGTCTATACCATTGCAAAATGGCCTCAGGGTTGACAACTGCTACCACCACAGTCATCCTGCGATCTGAGAGGGGCCGACACCGGGGTCCCCCTGAACACCAAAATCCACGGGCGCTCAAGTCCCTTACGGAACTTGGCGTGGGATTTGCATGGAGCTACACACTTTCCCCTCCACGCTCTGAACCCTCTCTAGATGGCTCTTAATACTGACATGAGGCAGGGGCTGCGCACGCAGCTGTTGTGCCGCACTGCTCACGGGGATGACGAGAAAGTCTGCGGGCGCCGTGCAGGCACTCGCTGCTTGCTCTTCGCACCCCTGGGTCACAGGGGAGACTGTACTTACCGTTGTTTTCTTCATCTTAGGAAAACAGAAGCAGCAGGGGTAGCATCTGGCCCAGTTAAACGATGGCAAGGTTGCTCACTGCCGCCTGGTTAACGGGTTGCTCGCATGTCAAACAGCACATTAAGCCTGGTGGGGTGGGCAGAGCCAGACTGTCCATCCGGGATTCCCAGCACAGGACAGGTCAACCCGAGCTCAGCGGGAGCAGGCCACACGCCAGCAAGAGGCTGGCTCAGAGTCCATCCTGCACGAGCCCCCTCTAATGACCACGGCCCTCCATTCTCCTCCATCAGCCCACATCCCGCACAGAGGCCCTGGGGTTGCAGGAATCTATGGTGCAAAGCAGGCAGGTGGAATTTCTTCCACCTCCTGAGGAAGCCCACAAGGAACACCCACCGATAACAGGAAGGCTCTAAGGTGGGGGGGGACAGAGAGGATGACGGTCCCTAGCTGCAAGAATTCAGCCTGAGGATAGGGACGCAAGGCCTGCCTGGGGCAACTAGCTCCCCCTGCCCCAGAGCCGTCACCACAGGCAGCGCCAAGGGTACAGGATCACGCAGATTAAGGTTTCCAGGCCTCTACTTCTCCTTGTCACCCCAGAGAGCTGCAACAAGCCAGCCACTTTGCAATACCAGCCACAGGCCAGTGAGCAAATGCTCCGGCATTGATCCAGCCCCACCCGGTGCTGCCAGAGCCTCCCAGTTTCCCAGAAAGGGCCCTTCCCTTCCTTGTCCACACAACTCACCCACCCACCCCTGTCCAGCCCCGCAACTTGACCCTGGAGAGCTGTGCTGAACTGCAGCTGCAGCATGTCAGCCAATCCGGGACTGGGGAGGGACTTGGAGGATTTACATAACCGTCTGCACCTTGGTTTCCTGGTCTGTAAAATGCAGAACGCTCCCAGCCGCCTGGTAGGACTCAACGAGGAATGCACCAGAGATGCCCAGATGACCCAGGGGTCAGTCCTGGAGAGATCAGCCTCAGTGCCCGGTTCTTGTGTCACTCTGAGGCCACCAACTAAGACAGGAAGGGACCCAGCCACACACCCAGGGACGCTAGGAGAGTGTCGGCCCCAGAGGATAAGCCTGGAGTGGCAGCCGCTGTGAATGGGAAAACCCTGGTACCCCCCACCCCGCGACTGCTCCCCAGCACTGCAGTAGACGGGCGGGAGCATGACCACCACGCCTGGGGCACAGTGAACAAAGGAGAAACATAAAATACGCACCGCAGTCACTGCACTGCACGGGGCAAAGGAGGAAGCTGAACGCCACGAAGTTAAATCAGCAGAAAGTAACACAGCATCAAAGAGAATAAAAAGCTCAGGAACAGAGCTGACAAGAGAACCGTGAGATTTGAACACTGAATCCTAGAAAACAACAGTTCATAACAATGGGAAGCTACTGCATGGTCACAGATCAGAGCCTTATAACCTTAAGATGACAACATTCCCCAAACTCATCTGCTGATTAATGCAATCCCATCAAAAATGGCAGCTCCCTTTATACGCAGAAACTGACGATGATCCCAAAACTCACACGGAAATGCAAGAGCACCAGAGCAGCCAGAGGATCTTGGAAAAGAACAAAGGCGGGAGCCGGCCTGTGGAGCAGCGGGCTAAGCCTCCACCTGCAGCGCCGGCAGCCCATGTCCCAGCTGCTCCTCTGCCACTCCAGCTCTCTGCTTATGGCCTGGGAAAGCAGTGGAAGTTGGCCCAAGAGCTTGGGCCCCTGTGTGCATGTGGGAGACCTGGAGGAAGCTCCTGGCTCCTGGCTTTGGATTGGCCCAGCTCCAGCCGTTACAGCCATTTGGGAAGTGAACCAGCGGATGAAAGACCTTTCTCTCTGTCTCTCCCTCTGTAACACTGCCTCTCAAATAAACAAATACAAATCTTTTAAAAAATAAATAAAAGAACAAAGTTGGAGAACTCACACTTCCTGTTTGCAACACTGGCTAGCACAGTGGTGTGGGGCTGACACACAGACATGCAGACAGGGGGTACAACTGAGAGCCCAGACACCAGCCCTTGGGCTCACAGGACAACTCAACAGACGGCGCCAGAACAACTGGACACCCCATGGGAAAGCATGACCTTGCCCTCCTCCCCGCCTCTGCCCCCGGCTCCCCACCTTCTTCTTGCAGAAATGAACACACAAGAAATCAAAACCTAAATTTAAGGACTAAAACTTTAAAACTCTTAGAAGAAAACAAAAATCTTTGTGGCTTTAGGTTAGGTTAGGTCGGCGTTAGAAATGACACCGAAAGTACAAGAAATCAAAAGGAAAAGATGAATTGATTTCATAAAAATAAAAAGCTTATACTTGCATGAGAATCACAAAATGAAAAGATAATCTACAGAATGGGAAAAAGATTTTGCAAATCATATACCTGATAAGGATCTTGTATCCAGAAGAGACAAAGAACTTTCACAGTTCAACAAGAAAAAGACAATCCAATTTAAAAGCAAAGGGGAAAAAAACAAGCAAAGGATCTTTTTCTTTTTTAATTAATTATTTGAAAGGCAAAGAAAGATAGAGATCTCTCATTTGCTCCCCAAATGCCTGCAACAGCCACGGCTGGGTCAGGAACTCAGTCCAAGCTTCGCGAGTGGCAGGCACCCAAGTACTGCAGTTATTTTCTGCTATTTCTCAGGGTACACGTTAGTGGGAAGCCAGAATGGGAAGCAGAGCCAAGACGCAGCTCGACACTCTAATACGTCATGTAGACAGCCTAAATGGGGGTCTCAATGGCTATGCCGAATATTAGCCCTTAAGCAAAGGATCTTAGTAGGCTTTTCTCTAAGGAAAATATACAAATGGTCGATAAGCACGTGAAAAGATGTTCAATATCAAAGGCAGGGGTTGTGGTGCGACAGGTTAAGCCATGGCCTGGGACGCCTGCCTCCCATATCAAGTGCCAGTCTAGTCCTTAGTTCTCAGCTTCCCACCAGGTCCCTGCTAACGCATCTGGGAGGCAGTAGAGTTCCTGGCTCCTGGCTGCAGCCTGACCCAGCACCAGCTGTAGCAACCATTTAGAAAGTGAACTGGTGGATGGAAGATCTCACTCTACTTTTTTTTTTTCTCCCTCTCAGCATTTAAATAAAAAATCTCGGGGGCCAGTGCTGTGGCACAGCGGTTAAGAGGCCACCTGCAGTGCCGGCATCCCCTATGGGCACCGGTTCCAGTCCTTGTTGCTCCACTTCCAATCCAGCTCCCTGCTAATATGCCTGGGAAAGCAGACAAGGAAGACCCAAAGCTTGGGTCCCTGCAGCCACGTGGGAGACCCGGGAGCTCCTGGCTATGGCCTGGCCTGGCCCAGCCCCAGCCGTTGTGGCCATTTGGGGAGTGAACCAGCAGATGGAAGATCTCTCTGTCTCTCCTCTAACTCCGCCTTTCAAATAAATAAATAAATCTTTTTAAAAATAAGTAAATATTTTAGTCTTCAGAAAAATTTTCAATATCATTAGCCATTGGGAAATGTACATTGAAACCACAATGAGGTACTACTTCATTGCATAAGAGTGCGATAATCAAAAAGCAAGCAATGGGGCCGGCGCTGTGGCGCAGTGGGATAAAGCCCTGGCCTGAAGCGCCGTCATTCCATATGGACGCCAGATCTAGTCCCAGCTGCTCCTCTTCTGATCCTGCTCTCTGCTGTGGCCTGGGAGAGTAGAGGATAGCCCAGGTCCTTGGGCCCCTGCACCCACGTGGGAGACCCGGAGGAGACTCCTGGCTCCTGGCTTCAGATCGGTGCAGCTCCGGCCATTGAGGCCATCTGGGGAGTGAACCAGCGGATGGAGGACCTCTCTCTCTGTTTCTACTCCTCTCTGTAACTCTTTCAAATAAATAAAATAAATCTTAAAAAAAAAAAAAGCAATGGCAAATATTGGTAAAAATGTGGGGAAATTGGAATCCTCATGTAATGTGTGGAAAAATAAAATTGGGCAGTCATTTTGGGAAACAGCCTGGCAGTTCTACATGTGAACCAGCAATTCAACTCCTATAAATAAATGTATATACACACAACAACCACAAACATAGAAACGTACGAATCCATAAAAATGAGCACACAAGGGACCAGTGCTGTGGGGCGGCGATGTAGTGGGTTAAGCTGCCACTGCAACTTTAACTTCCCATCCTGGAGGGCTGGTTCAAGTCCCAGCTGCTCCACTCCTGATCCAGCTTCCTGCTAATGTGCCTGGGAAGGCAGTGGATGATGGCCCAAGCGTTTGGGCCCCTGTCATCCATGTGAGACCAGGATGGAGTTCTTGGCTCCTGGCTGTGGCCTGGCCCAGACTTGGCTGTCACAGCTATTTGGGGAGTGAACCAGTGAATAAAAGATCTGTCTAATGGGGGCTGGTGTGTGGTACAGCATGTTAAGCCACCACCTGCAATGCCAGCATCCCTTATGGGCAACAGTTCCAGTCCTGGCCACTCCACTTCCAATCCATTTCCCTGCTAATGCACCTGGGAAAGCAACAAAGATGACCCAAGCATTTGGTCTCTTGCCACCAGGTGGGAGACCCAGACATAGCTCCAGACTCCTAGCTTCAGTATGGCCCAGCCATTTGGGGTATGCAGCCATTTGGGGAATGAACTAGCAAATAGAAACTCTGTCTCTCCCTCTCTCTCTCTCTGTAACTCTGCCTTTCAAATAAAATAGATATTTTTTAAAAAAATCTCTTTCTCCCCTTTTCCCTCTCTCCCCTGCCTTTTACATAAATAAATTTGTCAGAAAATACATAGGCGAAAGAAGTCAAACACAAAATCCACTCGATTTAGGATTCTGGATGCATGAGATGTTCCAACTCGCGAATCTATAGACAGAGAGCAGATTAGTGGTTGCCGAGGGCCGGGCAGTGGGAGGAATGGGAAGTGACTGCTAATGGGCACAGGGTTTCCTTCTTGGGTGATAAGAATGTTCTGGAATTAGATAATTCAGATGGCTGCACAGCATTGTGAATATACTAAAAACTACTAAATTATTCACTTTTA